TGCTGAACCTATTGAGAACCGCAAAGTCTCTTGTCCAAGTTGGAACAAGTCAAAATTTTCAAAGCAAGACATGTCATCAAGTCACCTTTTTTCTAAACTATCTTTGAAGAAATCGTTGAGAACAGCATTTCCATGGCAAGCAATGGCAATTGAAAATATCCATTTTTGCTTTGCCCGTGGCCAAGATTTCACCCCTTATTTATTTACCCTGCAGAGTGCCTGGGAGTCCTCACTCAGCCTGTCTCTGCACAGGCCCTGTGAAAGAGCAATTGTGCTCATATGGTAGGGGAAAGGCCACAGATGTGAAACAACATTCCCAGTTTGTGTGCAATTTTTGACCTCGTCACAAAACCACAAGCTACTGCTCAGTAGACAAGTGTGACATTTTCACAGACATTCAGCCAAGTCCTTTAACTCACTCCGAAGATACCTCAAGCTTATCTTACATTACAGATTTCTCAATGTACTACCCTAATATTTAGCCCATTGGACTTATTGTGACTTTGCCTGACAAGCAAATGGCCAGAGCCAGGGCATTTGGTTCTAGGTACCTGAAGAAGTTTGGTTAAGCCGTATGTCTAAGTTACCAAATTCAAGAATTACACAGCTTGTGGAGAAGCAGCCAGAACTGAATTTAGGGGTAGCAAGCAGGTAGGGAACACAAATAATCAAAGCAAGTTGACAGCTTGTGCTTTGATGAGATTATAACCCACACTAGTCAATAAACCCAACCTTAAAACAGCATGAAATCTACTGAAAAGCATTAAATGCTCCCAGAGGTGCACAGGGCTTTACATTGGCTGGGCATGTTGCTATGGGCAAGTGCACAAGACTCGGGCTGATGTTGATGCTTTTCTTGGCAAGAGCACTGACACAGTCCTCAGAAAGGGAAAGCGAGGACCTGTGTGGGAAAGTGTGTTTGCTGTAAAGCTGATTGCGAAAAGTGAAGCTCAGACCTTTTTAAAATCTATTGTCTGAATACAAAGCAGCATGTGGTATTAAGCTAATGAGCTCTGATGATAATCATCTTACAATTTATATAGTTGTTTATTTTGAAGGAGCCAAAAGAACAGCCCATTCCCAGGGCTGATGCATGTTGCCAGGGCTCTCTAAGTCATGGGAAGTAGGCTGATTTATACAGCCTCCTTTACACATGCCGGCAAATCCCTGTCTTGACTCCACAAGCCTGAGACACTGAGCCAGTCAGAAACATGGTACTTCTGGGATAGATGGCAAAGAAAAACTGGAATGCTGACCCAAAGGTGTCATTGAGGTTGAGTGCTCCTCTGCAGGAAGGGCCCCTTACTAAACTGGGAAGCAGAATGAATTGTATAAAACATCATTTATCTATCCGCAAGTAGAGCTGGAATGGAAGAGCTGAGCTAACCCCCTAGAGCAGCCCAAGGAACATAAAATTACTGAGGATGAAGATATTCAGAAATTCAGCAAGTCTGTGAGACCGGACCACCAAGCCCCTGTGGTGACCACAGCACGGATATCTGATCCTCCCATCACCCTGAAAACAAGTGGGTCAGATCTCTACTTGTGTAAATCACTGCAATTTCTGGTCATCTGAGCAGATGTGTGGCCATGTACCACCACAATAAAACCTAATTCAGAAACACTAGTGCTCACATAGATGGGTCTAGTCCTGTTCTCAGGATGGCAGAGCTCTTGAGTGAAAATTGTTGCAACAAGTAAATGGGTGCAGGTTCAAGCCTTTGACTCGCAGGGGAGGTTAGTGCAATTAAAGACAGTGGCTCTTTCACCAAGAAGCCCAGTATGACAACGATTTAGTGTCTCCATGGCAACATGAGACAAATTGCTCATTTCTGTTATGAAACCTTGAAAAAGCTACAGCAGGGTCTGTGTGGGAGCGACCAGCTCCCTCCTCCCCTGCTCCACCTCTCCAAAACTGGTAACTTCGGTAAGACTGCAACCCTCATAAGAACACACGGAGATTCATCTTACTTAGCTGTATTTTATATATGTTGACCAATTCGACAAGCCTATGGCCAAGGAAATTTGGCTTGCTTTGATCCATGGATAACCCTTCACATAAGCTCTGCCAGAGCACTGTGTACCTGAACACACCAACTTGACCTGGGGCTCAGAAAGACTGCATGAGCCACCAAGTTTCTGCCAACTACTCCTACAGTTGCAATTAATAACTCGTCCCCAAGCCACAGCTCACTTGCTTACACCCTTTTGGCCTGCTGCTTTGCGAGCATTAGCAGCTCCACAAAACACCTCCAGGGCTGAAACTCCGCAAGATCTGAACACTTCCCTCCCTGTTCCTGTTGTAGGCTGCTGGCTGGAGCCCTACAACCATCACGACACACCCAGAGCAGCTAGCTAGGTACCAGAATAGTTCAGCCTGTGT